GAAAAGCATTACATGACTAGTCGGAAACTACTAGGGATTCCTAGCGAGGCCCTCGTTTTATTTAAGTAAAACTAGCTAGCGCCCTACTAGTTCTCCATTAGAATTTCTACTAGGGTTCCCACTAGTCACACAAAATACTATTCACTAGTTAAATGCTATAGCATAAACACAGCAATTAAATGTAAATATAATAATAGGCCTGTTTATAACCATGGGCAAATGTGATATCTTTCGATCCAAAATTCATTTAAAAGGATCATTAGTACGCATTAATTGGTTAATTTGCCGTTAATGCTAAGTACACCAAATATAATCTGGCAATGATCTTTTTATCGGCATCACAATATAAATATCGTGTCGAACAATCATCCCGACATTTGAAGCGTGCACATTGCGAACAAAGGAGGCAGATTAGAAAAACCAGGTGGAGTTTCCCGCGCATCATCTTGACCCCTCAACAAACATTTTCTTATTATTTAAAAGCCTATTATGTATACTACCCTTCCAACAATAACGCTAAACGTAAATGAAACACTGATTAAGACGTTTTCGTTTTATAAGAATAAGATGGCAATTTTTATTTGGTTTCGCTCTATTGGCCAATTTTCACGATTGCTTTTTATTCAAAAACGGATTTAGCGCCCCTACAAACTAATGAATGCTTTATAATTAAATTTTTTAATGATGTTTGGTTTATATGCTGCATAAATATGTGTATATTTATGCAACATCCATATATGGATATAAGTCGAATTTGGCAGTTTTTAAGATTAATTTAACAACAAATTTACTTAAGTTAAGTAATAAATCCACAAAGCTCAACTATTTTACTTAAAATGTTGCTTAGAAAACGAGTGTTTATAAAATTTGTGTGGCGGCTGGTGGATTTTGGGCACACCCATATCTCAGTTATTAGACATGGGACCCACATCAAATTTATATGAGTTTATAATGACATTATATAGACAAGTTCTGCGCGAGCAGAATTCAAATTGAAGTTTTCGAAAAAAAGTTAGTTTTTAAGTGTGCCCCCCAGCCTCCTGACCCCCCAAATTAAGATAATTCAAATTAAAGTGGTACAATATGTGTAATAATTCACTTAAGTTTATCGAAAATTTTCAAATTTTATTTAAAAAATTCAAGTATTACAGATTTTATACCATTTTTATTTTTTTTTAAATTTAGTAAAAGAAAAAATAAAAATTTAAAATGGTATAAAACCTGTAATTCTTGAAATTTTTTAATAAAATTTGAAATTTGTCGATATACTTTAGTGAATTAAATATTGTACCACTTTAATTTGAATTATCTTAATTTGGGGGGCAGGAGGCTGGGGGGCACACTTAAAAACTAACTTTTTTTCGCAAACTTCAATTTAAATTCTGGTTGCCCAGAACTTGTTTATATAATGTCATTGTAAACTCATATAAATTTGATGTGGGTCCTATGTCTAATAACTGAGATATGGGTGTGCCCAAAATCCACTAGCCGCCTCTTGTAATTATTTTAACAAAATATTTTACCGAAAGTTTTGTAAAGGTATAATGAATTTTGTAAGCATTTTGTTAATTTCAAAGGTTACAGATTATTTTGTTAATATTATATTACCAGAAATCTGTTATTATTGTAATTCGAATTCCTTATATATAGGTACCTATTTACCGCTTACCCTGAAAAAAATATAAAAGTTAAAACCAAAAGAAAAAATAAAACTAATGAAAACATAGAAATTTTAACAAATAAAAAAACGGATGGTCTAGGAACAATCAAAAAAGTAAATAAAGACATGATTTCATTTGAAATCTATAAAGAAATGAGGTCTTACTACTATGAAGCTTTAAATAAAAACATAAAAAATAGGAATTCTAATTATATATCAAATTCATCCAATCCGAATCAAGCTATATATATATATATATATATATAGCTTGATTCACCTAGGTGTTCAATGTAGAAGCTAAACCTGCAGAAGAGTTTCTAAAAAATCATAACAATTTTAGTCACACTCATGTTTCTTCGAAGAAGTTACTGAAAAAGAAGTGTTTAGTATAATTATGAACCTTAAATCAAAAGAAACCTTAGACATTTATGGACTAAAAACAGTAGTTTTAAAACAAATAGCTCTTTGCATAAGTATACTACTTGCAATATTATTTAATAAAAGTCTACGAAATGGCACATTTTTGAACTAAAAATTGCAAAAACTGTTCCCATTTATAAAACTGGTGATGCAAATAGGCCAGAAAACTATAGGCCTATATCAGTTCTACCATCATTATCAAAGGTTTTTGGAAAAAAAGGCTTTTTCACAACCAGCAATAAATTCCATAATAAAGTATATATAAAAGTAGAAATGGCATGTTGCGATTTAAGTAAAGCCTTTGAAACGGTGGATAGAAAACTGCTTTTAGGAAAACTAGAACATTATGGATTTAGGGGAATAGTTTATGAGCTATTAAAATCTTACCTAATGGATAGGCGTCAACTTGTTAAATGGAAAAATAAATATCCCTATTAAAAATGCCCTATAGAACCCATATTGATCCAGATAAGGAAACTAATATGGATTTATATAGTTCTATATGTCCTATATGGAACGACCTGGTTTACACTTTGGAATCTATATGGTTTAATATGGAATTTCATTTTAAAATGTACAACTTAGGGATTTTTATATGGATTTATCTGGTTTCTGTTTTATGTGTCTTTCCATATAGGTTTCTCTATACATATGGTTGAATATGGAATTCCATTTTAAAATGTATATATATATTTAAACGAAAATTGCATATTAAACCATATAGATTCCCCTATATGGTTAAATATGGTTCTATATGGTAATAATTTTTTCACACCCAAACCATATTGGGCCAGATAGAGCAATATGAACGTATATGGCAATCCATATAGAAATCACTTTTCTATATGGTTTTCCAGGTATGGAATTCTATCTGGTTCAATAGTGCAATGCCTGTTGAACCAGATAGAACCATATAGATTTTTATTTTGTGTTTCTATATGGCATTTTTAATAGGGATTCCACAGAAGTAGTCAAGTCAGTTCCTCTACAAATGATTTGCCTGCAAATATTCCAGAAAGTGAAGTGTCTTTATGCAGATGATACATCAATTATCTATAAAGTTTGCCTATAGGCAGACATACACAGAGAAAAGTAATCTCTTGATTTAAGAAAATGCATTTATTAGAAACAGGTTTTCTTGTATGTAAGTAAAATTTTCTAATTCGTAGTAATTTGTTGTTTACAATAAGAAAATACTATTATTTGGTTGTAAATCATAAGTTTCTTGAAAACAACTTATTGTTGTCAAGAGATTACTTTTTTCTGTGTAGGCATTAATATAAGCGAAAAACCTAAAACTATATTAAAAACTGCCAAAGAATGGATGAACTCAAACCAACTTAAATTAAATAAGAAAAAAACCCAAATAATAACTTTTTTAGGAGATAATAAAAGTACAATCAAGTTTTTGGAAGTTCATATAGATAATAAACTAAAATGGAACAAACATGTAGAAGTCATTATAATGACCAGTGCAATCTACTGCATGAGAAGATTAAAACTTTGTGCCAATATGATATCCACAAAAACAGCCTATTACGCCATGTTTCACAGCATTGATAGTTATGGAATTTTATTCTGGGGGATTTCTACCGATTCCTACAAAATATTTATTTTACAAAAAAAAGCGATTCGAATAATCTGTGATTTAAACCAAATGAGAGTTGTAGAGAACATTTTAAAAATCAAAAAATACTTACAATTCCATCCATATTTATTTTGGCAGCAATAAAGTATGTATATTTAAATTCAGACGAATTTGATAGAAATTCTAAAAATCACACCTACAATACTATGCATATGAACTTTTTTCAAATTCCACTTCAAAAGCAAATTGGCACAACAAAGTATTCACTATTGGGGACCGAAGCTGTTTAATTATCTTCCAGAATGAAAAAAAAATAATGAATCCCAAAGCTTTTTAAAATCTTTGAAAAGTATTTTAATTCATAATTGTTATTATTCTTTAAATAAAACTTGAATACTAATTTTAACTTTAATGTTTATAAATATATGTTTTGTTGTTTATATTAATAAGTTGTTTATACCTAGCTATGTTAATGTTATATTTTTAAATTTTATTCTGACGTTTAATGTTATGTTTTTTACTTAATAAATTTATCTATCTATCTATCTATCTATTTAACGAGTGTGCGTATACGCTATACACTATAGTGCGAAGTAGCTGAAAAAAGATGCCATCAGTGTTTTCAACTGAAATAAGGGGATACAGTGAAGTGGGTTAAAGTTACGAAATACATTAGTAAGTAACAGTATACTGTTAGTAAGTGTTGTAGTACCTAGTACTGATAATTATATTGTACCAACAATCCTTATAATTTGATGATTTCAGAATGGTGTATTATTTAATTGTGTGTAGGTATGTTATTTCTATGTTAATTTATGTAGGTACGTGTTAATTTTTTTGTTTAGGAAATTGCTTTATAAATTTTTTATCAAAATTCTTTTTATTTATGTACCCCATTTCCAACAAATACTTTTGTTACTGAGTCTACTAAAAGGTTTGTAAAAATAAGGTCCTTTTTAAAAATTACATTATGGTTAAATTATTGATATAGAATTTTATATTAAATCTACAAAATGTTATAATAATTATTACAAACTACTTATTCAATAAGTTAACATATTACAGTTGGTTGTAAACTTAACAAATAGTTATGTGAACTGGATTAACATAAAATCTGGTTAATATTTGGTTAGAATTAACAAATATTTTTGAATGTACCTAATAGCAAATGATGAAATCCAAAAATGTTGCGTATTTTTTTGGTTTACTGGTTTTTGCATCAAATAAAACAACGCTTTAAACACGGCAGTTTATTATTTTTAAAATATGTAAATATCACTATAACTAAGACTAGATAAATATAAATAAATAAATCTTATACACTAAAAAAATTCATACATTATCGTTAAAATTATATTTATTATCTGGTACAGGACTTATAGAATCGTTTGTGTTCTGTAATGAATGTGATTGTATGATGGAGGAAACGTGGAAACATGGACCATCAAGACAAACGGGACAAAAACTTCCAGGAAAAGCTCCCAATAATTTTCTAAAAATAAGTTTACGTGACAAAACTTTTAATTAATAAGAGATTATAAGTATAATAATTAGCACCTGTTTATTCATGAGACCGGGATAATTTTAGTTTAACATGCAAATATACCATAAACTTAAAACATAATAGAATTATAAAACAAACATCAAAAAGGGGTATAACAAAAAATGGGACTATTTATTATTGGGGGATGATCGCGATAAAATCTAAGATCAACGATAAATTTCAATTATGTTTTTCTTACCTATAATGGTGATCTATGTGAGCTTTTTCTATTCTCTTGTCTTTGGCTCTTCTGTTTTGAAACCAGATTTTGATTTGTGTTTCCGATAGTCTCAACGATTCTGCAAGTTCGCATCTTCTTCCTCTGCTGATGTATTCAGATCTTTGGTATTCTATTTCCAATCTCAAAGTTTGTTCGCTGCTGAAAGTTGTGCGTTGCCTTCTTGGTCTACCTTCTTTTCGTCTTCGTCTTGCCACTAAGGAAAATAAAAAATATAAAGTCAATCCAACCAAATCTACTCTCTAAAAATTAATTAGTCAAAAATGACTAATTACTACAGTTATTATAATAATTGACTATAGTCAAGGGGTAAACCACTGATTTTTTAAAATTAAAAATTGCATACGAACGGCTAGAAGAACATAAAGTCCACATAACGTTGAACGTTGGTCTCGCTGATTTTAAAGTGGTTTACCACTCCTTAGTTGCAGCTTTTTCACTTATACCATGGTTAACGATGGTCTCCCCAACATTTAACAGCCAATTCTTATGTAAAATTGTCTTCTGAATCCGAAAATATCGTCAAAAATTATGAAAGTAAAGCAGTTTTTTAGATATAATTCCATATTATATGAAAAATTGACTCAAAAACAGTTCAACTTTTTAACTTTTAAGGAAAAGTTTCGGATTTAGGAAACAATTTTACATGAATTTGACTGCGAGAATTATTAATGGCTGCTTTTTTGCTATTTCAACTAGTCATTTTTGACTAATGCATTTTTAGAGAGTACCCATGATGGATTTATTTATTTTTAATTTTAATAAAAATATTTTATCACTATATTTTTTTAGTAATTTTTTCACAACAAAAAATAAAAACCGAGTTGAGTGAGTACTGAAAACAAGTTCTCTCTTGAATCGGTCTATAATTAATTATAGACTCGTTACTAAAGTGATTGTTTATGGCCTTGGTACTTAAAAATGATTTAGACTAATCGGGTTAGGTTATTTATGACCGAAAATAGTATATTGTAGACTATGCGCCCTAGTAGAAATTTGTCCAGTTTTCCTCACTACTGGTAGGGCGCTGGTTGGATTTAGATAGGGAAAAACTAGAAAGGGAAATCCTAGATCGGCCCCGACTAGGAACTAACCAGTAAAACTTGCCTAGTTGTGGCTCGGCTCCGACTGACTAGTTCACATCTAGTTTCCCTTATTAAATCCCAGTCTAGGCTGAGTCAAGTTTTCCTCGCCATAAACTTGTAAGTAAATGTATGGAAAATCTTTAAGATCAATCTTAACATTCCATTCGTATCGATCGATATAATTAAAACATAATGACAATAATTGTTATAACAATTATTGTCATTCTTACTCTTAGAATGGATTGTATTAAACGTTTTACAATTTAAATATATTTGATTTACAAGGCTTCTCTCGGACAAAAATTTAAGGAATTATGGTTTTGAGATGCTTCTTAAATCTTAATCTTAAATTTTTTCCCAGTTTAACTTAAGTTAAAGGTGTTTAATTAAACAACTTTTATCTTTGAAACAATTGTTTCAAAGATAAAAGTTGTTTAATTAAACACCTTTAACTTAAGTTAAACTGGGAAAAAATTTAAGATTAAGATTTTTTGGGTGAGATTTAAGATGAGGGTGTATATTTAACATGCCTGTAGAAATCAAATGGACAAACAAAATTTGTTAATATTTCAAATAACTTTTATTATATTTGCGTCCCGTCTCACTAGATGGCACCACGATTTTACAGATAATAAATACATTTTTAATACCTACCTATCGAAGTTGGTAGACCTGCTTGTGACGATGTTGGTAGACCTGCTTATGTGACATAAGTTATGTCATTCTTTTTTGTGCTTTATGGTAACCACGTTTGGAGTTCGATTTTATCCTTCATCGTGTGTACATCGCTCCATGAAAAAGTCTGAAAATAGTTGACTTTGACCCAGGAAGGATAAAATGGGGTTCCCGGTATAGAAATATACCTGTATTTCTCGACAATATCGCAAGCTTTGTCCTTTCAGCGAGGAATTTTGTGATTTGTGCAATTGATGTAGTGGATGTTTCAAGATTTGAAATTCCACATGTCCGTGAGTGGATGGCTTCGAGAAGCTCAAGGACGTTAAAACTTGTAACTGGGCAGTAAGAGCCTAATTGGCTCAAGTCCAATTCTCTCGAAAGAGAGAATAACAATTATTGAAGAAGAAGAAGAAGGTAACCACGTTTGTTGAATCAATACTTAAGTTTTTGGAAAAATTGTGCTAGATTTATCAAGAAAATGGGCAAAAGGCTTGGACACTCGCCCGTTACTACTTCCTCAAGCAGCTCTGAAGAGGAAAAGGAAAATTTACGACGTAAATTAAGGGAGACAAGACGCAAATTCAAAGCCGCTAAAATGGCGGCAGATCAAGAACGGTATTGTTCACCTATTATTTCGTACGGAGGTACCTTCAAATCCTTCCGTATTAAAGGTTAGTTATTTTAGACTTCGTATGCCTGTCCTTTCTAGACTAGCATTAGTCTCATTTAATTACAGTATTGTGCTTAAATTTATCTCAACCAAAAGTTCTAAAGTTTTATGGGATATTTCAGGTGAGTCACTAAATTTTAATAATATTATCCCTTCAAACACCCCCCCAGGATCCACTGGCATTAGATACAATTCCACCCTTAAGTGACGACATGTGTAAAGTAATTGATCTGAATCAGGAAATACAGACACTATTCACATTTCGCAAATAATATAAAAAGTACGATACATTTATCACTTAACACTAGTCCAGTTTAATAATCGAAAATAATGCGTTTAGATCACAGACCAGGTCTGTGGTTTAGATACATACAGTCCAATAAAAATGCATTGCCTTTAAATATCATTAAATTTAACGCAAATATTCAGGTAACTTCCCTTAAAATTTTATTTGATTTCGATTGAATGCAAAATGAAATGTGAATAATTATTAATTATTGCCTTAACATTTTAGATTTCATTGATGGACAAAAATTACCGGATAAACAAAGGCTTACGGCAAAAGAGTTCGAAAAAGCTTTAAGCTTACAAAGACTAGAGTGGGGGCAGAACCGAAAAAAAAAAAGAAAAAAAGTGAAAATGTAAATATATTTAAATCTAATAAAAAAAATTTTGCCACTGGCATTTATTATTGGTTAAAAAATTCACAAATATTCCTCACTAGTTTTAAGCTAGTTTTTTAAGCTAGTTTTCCCTACCAGCTTTTCCCCATTAGTTCCCCACCAGGAAAAGCATTACATGACTAGTCAGAAACTAGTAGGGATTCCTAGCGAGGCCCTCGTTTCATTTGGGGAAAACTAGCTAGCGCCCTACTAGTTCCCCATTTAAATTTCTACTAGGGCGGTAAAGTGACATTTTTTCAGAATGAAAGAAGAAATGTACAGGCAAACCTGAATACTTTTAGAAGCCCGTAAAAATCACTTTACGGCCGTGGTTTACAGGTTATTTTTCTTCCTACACCACATCACTAATATGTCAAAATAAAATTTTAGTTATGTATTTTATTTAGACAATTTGCATTTGGGGCGTCATTAAAGATAGCAAGTTGCTATTAGCAACGGATATACGGCTTTTAAAAGCCTGTTGCTATAAATTTAATAGAGTATTTGGCGATAGGCAGTTTTGAGTTAGTTTACATTTGTGAGGCTAGCCATAGAAATATATTTTTATTGAGTATAATTGAGGATATTAAATTATATTATATTAAACGAAATAAAAAGCATAAAAATGTTTGCACAAGAGGTGAAATATATTATTTTACAAATATTCACATTACAGTGTGTCTCCGGATCGGATTGCCAATAGGAAAAACTTTTTTAGACCTGATACAGCTAAACCGAGCGCGGATTTGGAATCTACGACCAAAAATTATGTTTACGTGTCCGAGCGTTTAGCTGTGATATTTCAAAAGTTAAAAACTTACGACGTAATTATATTGTACCAAATTTAATGATTTCAGAATTGTGTGTCATTAAATTGGGTGTATATTATTTTTGTGTTAATTGTAGATATGTGTTATTTTTGTTTGTTTAGGAAATTGATTAATAAAGCAACAATTCGTATACAGATACAGCTAAACCGAGCGCGGATTTGGAATCTACGACCAAAAATTATGTTTACGTGTCCGAGCGTTTAGCTGTGATATTTCAAAAGTTAAAAACTTACGACGTAATTATATTGTACCAAATTTAATGATTTCAGAATTGTGTGTCATTAAATTGGGTGTATATTATTTTTGTGTTAATTGTAGATATGTGTTATTTTTGTTTGTTTAGGAAATTGATTAATAAAGCAACAATTCGTATAAATATTCTTTTCATTTAAGTTTCCCATTTCCAACAAATGCTTTTGGTACTGGGTCTACAAAAAGGTTAGTAAAAATAAGGTTCTTTTTGAAAATTACAGGAATTATGCATATATGGTTAAATTATTGACATAGGATTTTGTTATTAAATCTACAAAATGTTTGTTGTAATTACAAACTACTTATTAAATTTAGATTAAAGTTATGTGGACCTGTATTAACATTAAATCAGGTTAATATTTGGTTAAATTAATTTCAGTTTGAAAACCAGTGATGGCATCTTTTTTCTGGTAATATATTATATTATATATAAACAAACTGGACAGTTGTTACGAATACGTAACGTATACGTAACTAATAAGAATAAAGTAAACAGACGCTGAAGCCAGTTGAACGTGTACTTTTTCAACGTAATAATTTGTTAAAAATTATAACAAAATTTTGTTATATCATATTAGGAATTTTGTTACCAATGGTATAATTAAATCAGTTCTGTTTTCAGAAAATATATTTAATGGATCTAGCCATGTTAATTGATTAAATAATTCATCACCAAAAGAAAATTGTGTTTTTATTTGTGTACATAATTCAATATAAAAATCTAAGGTCCTTAAACAAAAATAATGTAATTCTAAAGGGTTAAGATTACTCTCATTGTCAATAAAAGTTTGAACATTTACACCTAAATAAATTTTATCTAAAGGCAAAAAGTGTGAATTGTTGTTAGGATTGATCATATGCAATGGAGTTCTATCAATATATTCAAACTTTAAATAATTAGATAAAACTTGTTTATAAGGTTGAAAAATTCTTGGCATTAATTGATGTAATCTGGGTTGCTCTG